GGGGGGGGGGTCGGGAGTGGTGGTAGAGGGGTAGGACCTGCCTGGAGGTGGTACTTAGTGGAGGCCTAGATGCCGCCCTAGAGGCGAGGTTTGGGGATAGTATAGAGAAGGGCGACAAAGGTACTAGTCAGGAGTTCGAGGCAAGAACGGAGAAAGCAGTAAAGAGAAGAAGCTAACACAGCAGTACGGAGAAACATAAATTAAAACAAACCTGAACCTATGAATAAAAGCAAAAAAAGCAAAAGCAAACAAAAACTGAGCTCATGCGAGTGGGAATTGTTTTAAAACCCAGGCTGGAACGCGCCATGCTCTCCGGTTCGATCATGCGTTTTTGCACTAAACTCACAGATCGCTATTAACAGGAATGATCCCTACGCTGTAGCCTAACGCTTGGGCTAATATTAGCCGTGCTTTGATCCTTTCTAGCATGCAGGAGGAAGGGCATCAGTTGGAATGAAGTTGTTGTATTATAGAGCCGCACGGACATCCAGGTGCATGATTACCGGTTTTTTGCATGAAGTCCGGTCGTTTTTCGGTAAATGTTCGCTTTGTGAAAAAATGACAAATGTAAATTTTTTGAAAAAATGCAAATCCCCAATTCACTAAAAAGTGGAAGTCTTGTTCGAGCGGTCGTTTGTCAAAAAATGCACGTTCATTAACATATACGATTGCGGTTAAGGTCCGAGCTGCGAACGAATTTTTTAAAATATGCAATTTTCAGTTCATTGAAAAATTGAAAGTATTGCTCGAACGGTCGTTTTTCAAAAAATCCACGTTCGTTTGCATATACAATTGCGGTTCAGGTCCGAGTTGCTAAAAATGCACGTTCATTTGCACATGCAATTGCGGCTCAGGTCCGAGTTGCTAACGATTTTTGGGTGCAGGAGCTGCTTGAGGCTGTGGTTGGGGAACTAGAGAGCTGGGTTTAAAATTTTTAACTCGCACGTGCATAGAGAATATCCCTGCAAAGTTTCAGCTTTCTATGTTGCCTTGTTCACGAAATTGTTTCTCGCCAACAAATTTCTTTGGGGGTCCCGTACGCCGGGTTTAGGCGCGTGTGGAGAAAGATCTTAAAACGGGAGGATGACACAAGGGGTAGGAACATCTGTCCAAAGTTTCAGCCCCGAGCTTTACTGGTTGCTGAGATGAAAGTGGGTGACAAAATGCACTTGCTTTCCGAACACAAGTACACACACAGACAGCTTCTCGACAATATGCGTTGTCAAGAGGCTGTCTGTGTGTGTATGTGTGTTCGGAAAGCGAGTGCTTGCTTTAGCGCTGCACAACAGAAATGCATAAAAATGACAAATGCAAATTTTTTGAATAAATGCAAATTTCCAGTTCATTAAAAAATGGAAGTATTGCCCGAGCGGTCGTTTGTCAAAAAAGCCCTGTATACATATTAACTAATGTTCATTTACATATACGGTTGGAGTTCGGGTCCGGGTTGCGATGGATTTCTTAACGATTTTTTGGGTTGAGGATCTGCTTGAAGCTGTGGATAGGGTGCTCGACAGCTTATTTTAAAATCTTTAGCTCGCACGTGCATAGATAATATCCCTGCAACGTTTTAGCTTTCTATCTTGCTTGTTTCGTGAAATCGTTTCTCGCCAACATATTTTTTCGGTGGGCTCGTACGCGGAGTCTAGGCGCGTGTGGGGGAATGTCTTGAAACGGGACAGTGACACACTGGGTAGGAACATATACCCAAAATTTCAGCCTCCCAGTTTTCCTGGTTGCTAAGATGAAAGTGGGTGACAAAATGCGCTCGCTTCTGAACACACACACACACACACACACACACACACACACACACGCACACACAGGCAGCTTCTCGACAATATGCGTTTTAAGTAAGCCGTTTCTCTGTTTATGAATCTGATGCTTAGGTAACGCTGAAGGCGAATAAGATCGATTGGATTTACACAAAAGTTTCACACAATTCCAGTGTGTTGCGCTGGGCAGTGCGCACTGTGCAAAACACTTACGTCTCTGTCTTTTGCCTCCAAAATCTCACAAAAGCAAAGGGTGACTTCATCCCCATGCATTCACTCCAGCCCACTTTGGGTTTGGTTCATATTCTACAATGGAACGTATTCGCTCTCGGCTTTACCTAAGCATCAGATTCATAAATAGAGAAGTCCCCTGCTGACAACGATTTTTTTTTTTATAGAGCAATTTCTACACGCAAAGGCTCGGTTTTTTTGCCTTTATCCGCGGTTTCGCATCTTTTACTTCGCTCTTTTTTAAGTTTGCTTTTATTCATAGAATTAAGTTCGTTTTAATTTACATTTTATGCGTTTTGTACTGTGCAACAGCTGCACAAAACGCATGTTGTCACGGGGTTGCCTTTCTGTATGTGTGCGTGTATGTCCGATACATTTTGCCCGCAACTTTCGACTCGAAAACCACAAAAGCTAGGAAGCTGAGATTTTAAGGAAATGTCCTCTACCTGCGTGTGTCCCGCAAATTTAATTTCAACCTTCCCACGCACCTGGATATCAGGTAGGGCCTCGTGAAAGTTTTGGCGGGGGAGTTATTATCTGGCGAACTACAAGACCTTGGAAGCTGAAATTTTGCGGTAATGTCCCTTTCACAAGACAACTCAGCAACTTTAAATTCAGCCTCCCCCTAAATCTGGACACACGTGTGACCCCGTGAGGATTTTGGCGGCAGAAATTACCTTAGGTACCACGAAAGCCGAAAATTTGGAATTTTAGGATACTGTTCCCTGCCTACGTACGATCCCGCGAATTCAAATCCAACCTTCGCAATTTTTCCCGCCAAGACATTCACGGGATCCCAACATCCTCATGAATGTTTTGGCGGGAAAATTGTTACCCGGATGCCAGAAGAGGTAAGAGGCTAAAAATTGCCTGAGGATGTTTTTTGCCTATGCAGGAGCGACACATACTCAAATTTAGTTCTCATGTATGCCGGGACCTTACGGGCGATCACGCAGAAGTTTTGGTGCGAAGATCGCTCAAAAGTCGGAAAATTAGGAGACTGGTTTTGGAGGATGTTCACTGTCCAAGTGGGAAATTTCTTAATTTGGGAACCAAACAAAATTTCCGCCATTTTTGCACAAATCAAAGTGCAAAGCGTGAAAATCCTTAGCAGGCAAGCGTTCGCTGGGCGGAACTGCACAAAATGCATCATCGCACCTTGGTGCGCGCCACTATTTATTTTTATGCGTTTTTGCGTATATGCAAATTGCAAAAATGCATACTGGAAAGAGGCTGTGTATGTGTGTTTGTCTATGTGTTCGCGCACTTTGTCATCCACTTTCAGCTGAAAACCAGAAAAGCTAGAAGGTTGAAACTTTGGGTTTATGTGCCCATACCATGCGCGACCCTCCCGTTTTAATTTCATCCACAGCGGACACTTGGATGTCGCGTGTGGACGCTTTAAAAAAAATATGTAAATTTTTTGGCGGGGAAGCAATCTCGGAAACCAGATAAGGTAAGGGGCTGAAATTTTGTAGGGGTATTTCCTGTGCGTGTACTAGCTAAACGTCTCAAATTCAGCCCCAAGCTATGCGTAGTACTCGCGTATGGAATTTCCTGCGGGAAAATTACGAACTCTGGAACCAGAAAAGCTAGAAAGCTGAAATTTTAGGGGGATGTTCCCTGTCCGGTGCAAAAACACATGATCGCACGAGCCCGCCCGGTGCGATCCAGCCTGGGTTTTTTTTGTTTTAGATTCACATTTTCTTTGTTTTGATTTTGCTTTTATAACTGCGCTCCAGTTTGCTTTAGTTTACTTTTTTTTTGTAGTGCTTTGTTTTCTCTTCCTCATTACAGCTATATCCAGTTTTTGCCTCGAGCTCCTGACTTCTTTACTCTCTCCCCAAATCCTGCCTGCAAAGCAACATCTGAGCTCCTCTCTACCCCCGCTATAACAACACTCTGGGAGCTAGCAATATTTCACTTCTCTCGGGCATCCGTGGCAGAAACCCGGAGCAAAATCCTTCTATTCTTCTATTTCCATCCTTCCCATCCATCACCCCCTCCCTCCTCCCTCACATGACCCAGCCAACCGTCAAAGTGTCCACGCTACGTAGCCATTCAATCCTTCCCATTGTCCCGAACCCTATGCACACCATCCCGTCCCATCTACGACATCCAACCTCTTTCGCCGCAGTGAGGTAAGACTACCCGCTACAAGCCGGAAAAATTTTTCGCAAATCGTGTACGACACCGGCCGAGCCGAGGTGTAGTAATTGCCTAACATTGGTAGCCTGAACCTGTTGGTTGGGCAATGAGCAGGTTGTTCTTTTTTACGGGATTTTT